GGGCAGAACCCCTGAGCTCATTTTGGAGCTGGAAATGTCTCTGCTGTGGGTTGGGGGCTGCCAGGGTGTTGGCAGGGTGCTGGCAGCGGGGTCCAGTCACGCCTGACAGATTGGTGTGGGTGCTTTGGGATCCTGTGCCTGGCGTGGCATTTCACCTTCTGTTGGAGGAACGAGGTGGGCTGGAGCTGTCAGGAGATTGGAACAGCTCAGTGTGACAGCAGTGTGGTTATCCCAGAGGGTGGGAGCAGAGCTGTTCATGCTCGTTGCAGAGAATTCCTTGGGAGCTGTGGAGGTTTGGGGGAAGGGCCCCTTCCTGCAGTGACATTCCAGGTTTGCGCCCCTGGGAAATTCCTCCCCAAAATTCCAGAGAATTTGGCCATGAGAGGTGGCAAGGGAAGGTCCTGCAGCTGTCTGAGAGGTCCAAAACTGGACCCTGAAGGAGCAGGAATTAACTGCAGGCTGTGCCAGGAGGATGCTGAGGAGCAGATTTTGCAGCACATCCTCCCCTTCCCTGCTCAGCTGGAGTTACCCCATCCCTCCTCACCCCTCAGCTCTCACACAGCCCAATTTATCTCCTCTTTCTCTGCRTTTTTAACTGCTGGGAGAGCTAAAAGCACCCAGCCCTGTGCACAATGACAAAGTGAGCATGTTGGCATCTCTGTTCCTCCCCTCTTTGCACTCACCCACTCTCCTGTTTGTCTTTTTCTCTCCCTCCTCCTCCTCGGTGGCTCTGCTCTGCCTGCAGAGATGATGCTGAGTGAGGAGAGGAGGCAGCTCCAGGGCTGCTGCCCATTTTGGGGACGGGTGGCAGCTGTCACCTGCAGARCCTGGTGCCTTGGCACCCTCTGGGGAGTGCCAGCCTGGCCCCAGCAGCTGCAGACGCTGTTGGGGCATCCACAACACACACACGTGCATGTCAAAATACCTCTCCAAGGGCCAAAAGCTGTTTATTCCAAAAATCAGACTCATTTTATAAACCTTTGCACGTTATCATTTGTGTTACTGCAAGATTTATTTATTTATTGCTGTTATTTTATTTAATTTGTTATTGCTGCTGTTTAACAGCTCACCACTGTTGGTCACCTACAGCACAAGCGTTCAAGCATTCAGAAAAACACCAGGTGCAGCCTTGGTGCTGTTTTTCTCCTTCTGTTGTTTAAATTTTGTACTTCTGTCAATACCACATTTATTAGAAATTCATTTTTTTTCTCCTCACGAGCTTTTCTCATAAAACAGAGGAGTTTTACACGGGTAACGAGACCCTTGTTTTATAAGTTTTTATTTATCTGGGCTGTGCTGCCGTGACCCCAGACATCACCTGTGTGTTCCTTCACACAGCACCAGCGAGGTTCCAGAACAGCAAATAACTCAGAAAATATTTCCTCATTTTCCAGAAAATATTTCCTCATTTTCCAGAAAATATTTCCTCATTTTCAGGAGAGAAAAACAACGTTTTCCTCCCTGCTCGATGCAGCTGCAGAAGGGATTGAGCACAAACCCCTCTGGCTCACGCATGTGGTTACTCCTGGATCAGGCCCTGACAAAAACCCACGTGCAGAAATTTCACTTAAAAAACAGGAAAATGCAGGGGAGGGAGCCTTTGGGAGCTTTTGAGCTGTGATGGACACTCAGAGCAGCTCTGCTGTCCTTCCTGCTCTGCTCCTCCGTGGGGACTGGCTGTTCTTGCCTTCTTCCCACAGMTGCAAACCTGACTCCTGCACAGCTCCAAGGAAAGGAAAGAAAAAAAAAAAAAACCAAAACAGATTTTGGAAGCGTTTTCCAGTTGTTTCAGGCTCCAGCTGCTGATGTTTTTTGTTGTAATTCATGCAGGGAGGAAGGTGCTTGGCACAGGCACCCCGGTTCGCTGNGCTGTCCTTCCTGCTCTGCTCCTCCGTGGGGACTGGCTGTTCTTGCCTTCTTCCCACAGCTGCAAACCTGACTCCTGCACAGCTCCAAGGAAAAGAAAGAAAAAAAAAAAACCAGATTTTGGAAGCGTTTTCCAGTTGTTTCAGGCTCCAGCTGCTGATGTTTTTTGTTGTAATTCATGCAGGGAGGAAGGTGCTTGGCACAGGCACCCCGGTTCGCTGTGGGTGTTGGTTCTCAAAACTCCCCACTCCCAGAAAATATATTTATATCTGAATTTYTTGGGGTAGATAGAGAGSTTGTGGACCCCMTGGAAGKATYCAGGACCAGGTTGGACAGGGCTTGGAGCACCCTGGGGCAGTGRGAGATGRCCTGARGGTCACAGGATCCAGAGCAGAGGATTTTTTTGTCCAGAGCTCAGGGATCAAGGGGCTGTTGAACACATCAGGGCTGTGGGACTCCCTTCTGGGGACAGATTTTTACAAATCCTAGCGATTCCCTCTTGGTTTCCTTTCCTGAARCATTCAGACAATTCCTTTTACAGCTCCTGCCTGAAATTTCCCTCGCACGTTTCCCTCTCTGAGAGCAAATCCAGCACGGATGTGAAGTCCTAGCGAGATCCCTGCTGTTCTGTTGGGGTTTTTTTTGGTGATTGTTGGCTTTAAATCACAAAAAAAGGAACGAGAAGGAGCTCTGGGTGCTCAGCAGAGAGCAGAGACCCCACGGGAGCACATGGGAAAGGGGAGCTGCCCCCTCTGAAACGCTTCTTTGCCATCTGGAAAATTCCTGGCAGCCTTTCTTCCACCCGGACTGGTTTGGCTTTCCTTGTGCTGACCCGAAAATCGGGTGACATTGGCAGCAGATTAATTCTGTAGCTTCTGAATAACATCAAAGTCGTTTTAGCTCGGGTCCCTGTGGAAGGAGGGGACGTGGGGACACRGCAGTGGAGGGAACACRGGGGAGGAAACCCCTGCCCTATTTCAGGGTCCAGCACAAAAGCTTCATTTATTGCCTGTGAACCCAAAAATTTTAACAACATCGCCGGTTTTCACAGCAAAAAAATTTCATTCCTGTTTCCATAGTAAAACTTTCAGCTCCAGAGAAATGGGATCAGCAGCCAGAGCACATTAATGASACTCTGAGACTCCTCCCTGCTCTGAAATGATCTTTGGCTGGGCAKCGACAGAGCTGAGGCTCAGGTGGGGATCACCTGGGTGGAAATAACTTGTTGAGGTGATTTCACAAAGCTCCCGGTGCCAGGATGCCTGAGGAGAGGGCAGCTCGAGGGCTCAGGGGCGTGATGAAAGGAGCAGGGCTGGGTTGGAGAGTGCTGGGTTTTGATTTTGATCCCGATTAAAACCCGCATCGCTCGAGCTGCTCCATCTCTGCTGCCTYTTCCACTCTGAGCGAGGCTGTGGGGGGGAAAAAAATGCTTGATCTCTGCCGAGGAGAGTGAAAAATCCCTCCTCCTCTCCCTTTCAGAGCATCCTCGTGGCTCTGAGCACCGAGTCCGTGTCTGCACAAACTCACACCCTCCTCCTCCTCTGAATTATTGAACGGCTGCGCGCCCTGCGGGGAGAAGAGCAGCGGCACCACCCGCTTTATCTTCCTTAATCATCCTCGTTTCCAGCACGGCTAATTAGCTCGAAACCTCGGAGAGTGACAGGGGGACAGCAGAAGCTGTGTCCCCTCGCTGGGGATGGGGACCCTCGGTGTTGTGTGTTAATTTTGTGTCCCCGGGCACAAATTATTTTTTTTTTGGGCACGGAGAGTGTCCCCGGGTGGGATTTATTATAAATRAGGGTTGAAATGCTGCTCTCTGTTCCCTTCCATCCTTTCTCCCCTTTTCTTTCTCACTCTCCTTTGCTCAGAGAGGCTTTGGGGTGATTCCTCAGCTCCTTAGGAAGGGCTGGGTGTAAACCAGGGATGGACAGGGTGTTGGGATGGCACCCTTGGGAAAAAGCTTTGAGCCATCCCAGCAGCAGCAGCAGCTGCCCAGATGTGCCCTTGAAGCATCTCCAGCTCGTCTCTGCTTCTTTTTTGTCCCTGCAGTTGCCTGAGCTGCTTTCAGAAGGAGAACTCACAGCCTTTTTTTCCTGTCCCTTTATCTATCCCTGTACCCTGAACCTACACTCCTGTAATTCCCATACCCTGATTTTCCATCCTGGTTATGGGGTTCTGCCCAAAAAGCCTCAGTTAGAGCTCAGGGTGCCCTGAGCTGTCTCAAAGCCGAGCTTGGAGCTTTCTCTGTGCCACAGAGGCAGCTGGAGCAGCATCAGCAGGGAGGGGAGCAAGGCAGGGATCAATAGTGATGTCATCTGCAGCCAATGCGGCTCGGGCTGGGGAGGGGAGGGAGGAGGCGAGGGAGGACCAGGAAAGCCTGGCTGGAAGCTGAGCACAATGCCCAGAGCCCCCTGTGCCAGTCTGAGATCGCTGATGGGGTTGGGGGGTTTGGGGGTGCGTGGTTTGGGGGGTCCTGGGTGCCCCAGTGCAGCTCCAAAGGATGGGACAACCCCTGGTTGAGGATGGGTGTGAGCAGCTCTGGTTTGGGATACAAAATCCGGGGTTTGAGGTGCTTCAGATGCACCAGAATGGCTTTAAAYCAAAAAAATGGCTTTAAGGTAAAAAAATGCTGGTTTGGGATACAAAATCCTGGGTTAGAGGTGCTTCAGATGCACCAGAATGGCTTTAAACCAAAAAAAATGGCTTTAAAGTAAAAGGTGCTGGTTTGGGATACAAAATCCTGGGTTAGATGTGTTTCAGATGCACCAGAATGGCTTTAAACCAAAAAAAATGGCTTTAAAGTAAAAGGTGCTGGTTTGGGATACAAAATCCTGGGTTAGGGGTGCTTCAGATGCACCAGAATGGCTTTAAACAAAACAAAAAAAAGGCTTAAAACAAAAAAAAAATGGCTCTAAAGTGAAAGAGTGAAGGTTTAGATTAAATATTAGGAAGGAATTGTTCCCAGTGAGGGTGGGGAGGCCCTGGCACAGGGTGCCCAGAGAAGCTGGACACTTTCTGGATCCCTGGAATTGTCCAAGGCCAGGCTGGACATTGGGGCTGGGATCACCCTGGGACAGTGGGAGGTGACACTGGGTGGGGTCTGAGCTCCCTGCCAGCCTAAACCCCGCTGGGATCCTATAAAAACCCACCCACCATAGCCAGTTCAGCTGTTTCTTTGGGTTTTTTGTGTGCATTTGGCTCCGTTCCTCTGTTCCCACCCCAGAGAACCAGCCCTGGCTGTGTTTGTAGGGTTATTCCCTCCTCAATCCCATCCCAGCACCTCTGGGGGCTGATTGTGATGGATGCTCATTTTTTAAGGATCCCACCTTTTTCTCAATTCCCTGCGTGGTTTCCCTTCTGTTCCCTCACCTGTTTTTGGGAYGGATCCAACGCCGGGGGCTCCCCAGGCTGCGATTCCCTGACACAGCTTGTTGGAGATGGCAAAAAACCCTCCCAAATCTCACCCTGGCATCCTCCCTCCCAGCTGCCCAACCCCAAACACTCATTTCTGGGGGAAAAAAAAATGTAAAAATAACTGGCAGCCAGCATGAGACAGCTCTGCTCCATCCCACAGCAATCAGGGGCTGGGGGAGATATTTTAGGGGGAGCTCTGAGGTCTTGGAGGGGTTATCACAAATCATTCAGCATTTTTGGGATTGCTCAGGTGGGATTGAGAGGAGCAGGGAGCTCAGCTGATTTTTTTTGAATTTTGAGGTATTTTGGGGAACTTTGAGGACAGGATGGGGGATTTTACTGTGTCCCATATTTTCCACCAAGGACCATCCCGTGTCTAAATTTTCATCACACGGTGCGGCGCTTGCCTGACGCTCCCCTTGGGGTGCCTCCCTGACCCCACTGACCCCACTGACCCCATTTTTAACCCCTTCCCTCCCTTCTCCCACCCCTCAGAGGACCAGCTACCCCCYGGCTTCCCCAACATCGACATGGGGCCGCAGCTGAAGGTGGTGGAGAGGACGCGGACGGCCACGATGCTCTGCGCCGCCAGCGGCAACCCCGACCCCGAAATCACCTGGTTCAAAGATTTCCTGCCCGTGGACCCCAGCGCCAGCAATGGCAGGATCAAGCAGCTGAGATCAGGTAAGGTCTGGGGGTGTTTTTGGAGCAGTTGGGAGCAAGTGGAGATGTGAGGAAGGTCCTGGTGTGGACCCCGCTGATGTGGAGTGGGGTTTGATTTTTTTTTTTTGGGTTTTGCACCGAGAGKGGATGGAGAATTTTTCACTTTGAGCACTCCTGGTTTTCTCTGACATGAAGGGAAGCTGGTGCCCCATCCAGACATCTCATTCCCTGGATTTTGAGCTCTTGGGGGAATCTGGGGCRTGGATGGGGGCTGAGGGTTTGCTCCTCAAAGAACTGAGCAAAAAAAAAACCTCAAGAACTGGGAAAAGAAGACAAAACCACTCTGGAAGACCCAGCCACACACGCCTGGTGAAGGATCCACAGCTCAGACAGCCTCTGGCTGTCAAACCCCGTGGTTTGGGAGCCTCTCAGAGCTGGGGGTGAAGAACAGCTCRTGCTGGACATCTCCAACCTCCCCTCCCTGTGGCCATCGCTGGAGAATGTTCTGGACTGACCCCTCTCCTCCTCTGCCCGTGGGGTCCATCCCCACCACCAGATGTACCCCAGCTCCGTGGCTCTTGTTGGTTTTTCCATCTTTCCCCCATCTGCTTGTCCATCTGTCTCTCTCCCGTTTGTTTTCCGTTTGCTGGTTGTTTTTTTATTTTTTTTTTTTTTTTCCCCCGTGTGCGTCTGTTTAATATTCACGTTGGGGGAGCTGTTTTTGTACTTGTGAAATCTGCCAGCTCTCCGTGTGACAGGGTGTGCAAGGAGGGCATAGGTGGATTTATTTTGGAATATTACTGATAAAAACACTTCCACCGATAGCTGCGAAAATCAAACAAGTTTTGAGATTTCTACCTTTTGGCAGCGACTAACCCAAGAAATAATCATTTTCACAAGCTGCTTGGGCTGAYTGATGTGGCCCAGCCTGGAGAAAACGTGTCCATGGTTCATTTTGAAGGATTTTTTGGTGAAAGAAAGGCGTTGCTGTAGGCAAAGAGGAAGAAGAGAGTTGGGGGGAAAACTGGAGTTGCTTTGTTCACGATAGACCTTACAAAATTTCTCCAGTGAGGTGATAAAAGGTGATGAGGCCATTTCTCTRCTGGCCCTGGAGAAATCCCTTCAGGGTGTGTCCTGCAGGATCTGGACAGCCAGGCATGGAAACACCTGGATTTTCTCTTGGTTTGGCCAAGATTTTTAATTTTTTTTTTTTTTAATTCCACCAGCTCCGTTTCAACGTGGTTTTTACACACCTGCTTAAATGCCTCTCTGCTCAGTGAAGCAGAGTTACAAACAGATCCTTAAACTGCTTTGTTGAATTAAAATGCCTTGTTGAGCCCTGTGAAGGCAGACAAGATTGACCTCCCTGTTTTATCGCAACAGCTGAGGCAAACGCGGATAAAACAAAAAATTAAAAAAAAAATAAAAAAAAATCACTCAGCATAAATAATAAGAGGTAAACTAGAATTATATCATGCTCTGTGGCCGTGATYTGGAGTGTGAGTAATGCGCAGGCAGATTATTTTTAATACATTCATCATCTTGCTCGGATGCCTTCGCTCTTCAGCTCGGTTTGATCCGGCGCTCTCCTCCAAGCCACCTGAGCTGGAATTTATTTTATTCCAGCAAATTGATTCACCTCAGGCTGAACCCTTGACCCCTTCTGATAAACAGGAGATACCTGCTGAGATTTAATCTCATTTACAGCTGGTTTTAATCACTAAAACTGGTGAAAGCCTGGAGCATCCCTGTTGCCTTCAGGACACAAACCTGTTGCCTGCGTGTCAGGGCAGGCAGAGCTTCCCAATTTTTGTTTTTCCTCAATTTTTTGCTGCTTTTGTGGCCTTCCAAAATTTACCTGTTCTGCCAAGAAAAGCCCAGAAAGGTGATGCCTGATCCAGACTCACCTAAAGCAGAGTTTGGATAGAATTGAGAGAATCCAAAGCAGTTCTGTTTATTCCCTTCAGGGCAGTCCCACACCCACAATGGACAATGGCTCACAGGTTTTTCATATTTTATCACTTTTGTCCATTTTCTGCTCGTTTTGGGGCATTCAGAGCAGAAAGGCAATGTCCTCTGCTCAGCTGCCATCTAGGGGGGACACGGAAGGCAGCTTCAGCCACTTTTCCTCAGCACAGCAACACTAAAAACCTTTTGTGTCTTCTTGTGTGTGTCTTCTGTTTTTTCTAAATAACTGCCTATAACAAGCTTTTCTTTTCTTTTTTTTTTTTTTTTTTTTTTTTTTAACATTCAGAGACCTTTGGTAAGTTCGTTCAATTACGAAAAAATCCTTAAAAAATTGAACCAAAAAACCCCAAACCTGCTCATGTGCAGATTCGTAACCCTTTGCCCTTAAAACTAATTCCTCTGTAACAGCTTTCTTGAGAGGCATGCTCTGCATTTCTTCTACTAACTCCTTCAGTAGGGATGTTCTGCCCTCTAAATTAATTTCTGCAGGGGTATTGCAGGCTACCAAAAAAAAAAAATCAGTAATAATAATAATTCTAATTAATTAATCTGCCTAAAAAAGATAACAGCTAAATATGAACCTCCTAACATTGGATAGATTTCTTTTTTTTTTTTTTTTCCTTTGGTATCTTAGCAACAGTTGTCCTGGAATTCCCCAATTACACAACAGCTTGTGCCCTGGAACTGTGAGAATTGTGTTCACACCTGCAGGAGGTCTTGGAGTTTCACATCTAATGGTTCATCTGAGGGTTTGACATCCAATCTGAGGGTTCCATGTCTAATCTGAGGGTTTCGCATTCAATCTGAGGGTTTGACATCCAATTTTAGGGTTTTACATCCAATCTTAGGGTTTCACATCTAAACTGAGAGATTTATACCTAAACTGAAGGTTAAACATCCAATCTTAGGGTTTTACCTCCAATCTGAGGGTTCCATGTCTAATCTGAGGGTTCCATGTCCAAATTGAGAGTTTTACATTTAATCTTAGGGTTTCACATCCAATCTGAGGGTTTTACATCTAAACTGAGGGTTTCACATCTAAACTGAGAGTTTTATATCTAAACTGAGGATTAAACATCTAATGTGAGGGTTACACATCCAATTTTAGGGTTTTACATCCAATCTTAGGGTTTCCCCTCCAATCTGAGGGTTTTACATCCAATCTGAGGGCTTTACATCTAATCTGAGGGTTCCATGTCTAAACTGAGGGTTTCACATCCRATTTTAGGGTTTCACCTCCAATATGAGAGTTTCACATCTAAACTGAGAGTTTTATACCTAAACTGAGGGTTAAACATCTAATCTGAGGGTTCCATATATAATCTGAGGGTTTTACATCTAAACTGAGGGTTTCACATCCAATTTTAGGGTTTTACATCCAATCTTATATAGTATCTTTTATTATAAATCTAGAATAGGCTACAAGAATTACAGACATGTGGGCTCAGGGTGCAGGGATACAAAAAAGGTACAGAAAAATATATATTAAAAAAGGCAAGAACCATCAGGCATCAGCAGGAACCTCTCTTCAGAGCTCCCATCCCGCTCCCTGCCCATCCCAAATCCCTTTTTTGGTCCCTGAGGGTGCCAGAATTGCAGATGCCAGCTGGGATGTGGCATTTGGGATGGCAGGGTTTGGCTGGCAGAAGGTGGGGACGTGTCTGCTGTCACTGCCACAGCCATGGGGACCGTCCTGCTCTCCTCTTTGCCAAATTTAGGGGATCTGGRGGCAGCTCTGAGTGTGGGAATCCAGGGATGGTGGCACAGCAGACCTTGCTCTTTGTGACAAAGGGGGACACCTGCATGGGGAGCTCTGTCTTGGCCYTTCTAATCCACAGGCCAGGCTTTTAAGCTGCCTTTTGCCTCTGCTGCTAAACCCCAGGCTGGCCATCTGGGCTGGCAMAGCCTCCAAATTTGCCCTAAATAGGCAGAGCTGCAGAGCTGCTGCTCCTGGGAGGCCGTGGAAGGTCTGCACGTAGCAGCTCAGGGACAGCTTTTGGCTCTGCAATCAACATCCAGGGCCAGCTCCTCCTCCTCCTCTGGTTCTCCTGCGAAGCTGCTGTGCCCTGGGAATGGGTTTGTGCCCTGGGAATGGGTTTGTGCCCTGTTTAGGATGCCAGGTGCCTCCCCTGCACCCCAACRACCCCGTATCAAACCTTCCAGGACCTGTCAGRGCTCCTCAGGATTAATTGAGTGGATGTGATGCCTAAATCTGGCTCATCCAGAATTGWGAGAATMCAAAGCAKTTCWGTTGATTTCRGGGCCTTCAGGTAGCAGATTCTGTGATCAGATCTTGGTTTTTCTGCTCCTTTCAGGGGAGGGGAAGGCAGAGCTGGGGGGTCCCTGGGTGATGCTCTGGACTGGGTTCCACTGATGCCAAAAAATCTGGGTTTACCTAAACCAGAAACTGGAGAGAATTGAGAGAATCAAAATCATTTCCATTTATTGCAGGGCCTTTAGGGCCATTCAGGGCAGTCCCACACCCACAATGGACAATGGCTCACGGGTTTTTCACCCTTTCTCACTTTTGTCCATTTGCACATCGGGATTTGCTGAATCCTCCAATTGCAGCTGCAGCCAATGCAGTCAAAAACTCCAACTTGGCTCCCCCCAATTCTCTGTTCTTTCCATCTCTTGGGGCCTGGCCCAGGGAGGTGTCCTTGAGTTTGGGGCTGCAGAGGAATTGTTTTGTGTVAAAATGGGAGAGCAGGAGCTCAGCACTGTCTGTGCAGTCTGGAGTTAAACACTGGAGAACCCCAGGGTTACAGAGACGTGGAAATAGAGAAGTTAAATCCTGATTTCAGAGAAGATGAGATCCTCTTCCAGCACCCTCCTTCTGCCCCCGAGTTGGCCGTGGAGCTGCTTAGATGTGAAACTCCAACGCTGAAAATCTCCCATCTGTGCCGCACCCAGAGCGCTGCTGGAGCTCCTTGGCTCTCCCATTCCAGCGTGGGCACCTCCCTGGAGCTCTTCTGCTCCTGCCCCGGTGCCAGAGCTGGAGCTGGGGAGCCCAGGGTGGCACTGCCAGGGCCACTGTCCCCAGCACAGGCAGTGCCAACCCCGCGGGGACACCGGGAGGTGACAMCGGGAGGTGACAAYGCTGCTGCTGTGCCCGGGCTSGCACMGCTCCGGCTCCCGGCRTCGATCACAGGGAATTATCAATTCCAGGTTTAGCTGAGACCCGWGAAGATTTTTTGAGATATCGGGGTCTCCTCCCCTCCCGTGCCCTCTCCCCGTCAGCCTCGTTCCATGCTGGTGCCACAGATGGCAGATTTTCACTGCAGTTTCCGGACAGAAGGATGTACCAGAGGCTGTTTTGATTTCCACTSAACCGATCTCTAACCTCTCGCTGCTTTTTCTCTCTTTCTCTTTGCTTTTGAAACCTCCCTGCCACCTCCTGGGTGGGGRATCTGCCCAAATCCGTGCTCTCCCACCGCTGTCTCTCCAACCTTTATCCCGAGAGCTAACATTTACCTGCTTCATTAACCTTAGCTTAGTTCCTAACCCTAACTAGGCGCTAACTTTTCTCTAGCTAATCAACCTAACCTCGTGACTAGAAGCTGAGTCTAACTAGAGTCTAATCCCTAACACTAGAATGCCTCTCTCCCTTCAGCTCCTCTGAACAGAGATAAACTCGATAATAATCAGCACTTCTGTATTTTTACCTTCTATCCTGAGAACGGMGGCTCGAACGCAGCAGCAGCAGGAGCAGGGCTGGAGGAGAAGGAGGGAAGGATTTAATTTTTTTTGGTGGTTGAGGCAGAAAATTGGCACGGAGGAGGTTTTGACTCCTTTTCCTGCCTCTGCCACGCTTCCCTCCGCGACYTTGGGCGAGCCGCTCCGCCTCTGCCTCAGTTTCCCCGCGGSTAAAGCAGAATCCTAACACTGCCCCGGGGGAGAGGAGAGGCCGAGAGGCTGATTTTTTTGTTATTTATTGTGCTCTGCAGCCCTGGCTGGGAGCTCTGCAGGGCGGCAGCTCCGTCGCACTGGAGCTCGCTCATCCCATCCCGGCGCTGCGGGACCCTCCCCGTTCTCAGGATTGGGGGCAAAAAAAACCCCACTGGCTAAACCCCCTCCTCTGAATAATCAACCCCCTCCTCTGAATAATCAATTCTGAACGCCCCCTGTGAGCAAAAGGACCTGCCGTGCTTGCCAAGGAAGATGGGGGGGTTGCAGCCTCAGGAGGTCAGCGAGGGGGACGGGGTTTTTCATCCTTGACCAGCCACTCCCGTCCACTCCCGTCCACTCCTGTCCACCCTGCCCGAAGCTGGAGGGGTTTGGAATAAAATAATCCCGGGGAGGAGCAGTCAGCAGAGCTGTTCTGCCCTCACAGCCCCTCCTGGCTGGTATTAGGGCGGCTCCAGAGCCATTCCAGGAGGTYCCAGGTAGTCCTGTCACCTCCTCAGTCCCCCTGAAAAGTGGCCAGAATTCCTGAAAGGGACGTGCCCTGAATTCCTCACTCACCTGTGGCAATAATTGAAGGTTGGAGCTGAGGATTTGCCAGCCAGAAGCTGCAGTTTATAGAATGCCAGGTGCCCATGTGCCCGGGCTCACCCAGCCCCTTTCCCCGTTCTGGAGGTCAGTGCAGGGTCACTCTGTGTCCAGTGAGGAGCAAACRGGCACCTCAGCGAGAGCCTGAAAGGTTTCTTGACATTCCCACCACGAAATGGAGCCAAACTTTAGACTCTGGAAGCCACGGAGGCTCTGCCAACAGCCAAAAARGGCACCTCACCCTGAGCACCCCGAGCCTTCCTCAGTTTCCCCAAAATCCGAGAGAGAGCAGGAAGTTTCCTACTGGGAGCTGTCTTCCTTGACTCAGGTCCTTTTCCCACAGGCAGTGCAGGTGTTTGGGGTTTTTGCAGCCTTTTCACTCATTTTCTTTGTTTCCTTTGCAGAAGGTACACCGATCCGAGGTAAGACACCCCAGCTCACTCACTCACCCACTCTCCAAACACTTCTCTCCACTCAGATCCCGTTCCATTGCCCCGTGCTCAATACAGATCCGTGTTGTTGTTATGTTTCCTCGTCCTGCTTCACCTCTGGATGTTTCTTTGTTGATTTTTTTTGTGTTTTTTTTAATACCTGTCTTTATTTTATCTCTGGTTATAATGTCCTTTTTCGTTCGCTGGGTGCACTCGGTAACGCCGACGCCGTTATTCCAATAACGTGCTGCCTCTTGATTTATGGCAGAGTTTTTAAGAGCTCATCTCTCCAGGACAATGAAGGACTGAAGTTTTATCTCGAGCATTAAATGCTATCAAATCCTGGTAAATACTTAGGACCTTCCCTTGATTGGTTCAAAGTGCTCCCTGATGGTGATGAGAGTTTTCCAAACCTTTCTCGGGCAGTTCCTCAGCACTTCCCATCCCACCCTAATAATTTTTTTTGGCTCCAGAGCCTCTTTCCACTTCCTCCCCGCTCTCTTACCCTTAGGTTTCTCTGGGAAAGACCCATGGTAAGTAATTTCTGCGCTGTSTCTCTGATGGAGCCAAAAATCGACCTCCTGAAAGGCAGGAGGAGCTGGGTTTGCACCCCTTGGGAGACCCCGCTTTGGTTTTATCTGCCCTGGTTTTATCTCCACGTTTAAAAATCCCACAATTCTCTGCTGGTAAAAGCAACAGGAGGTGCCGTGGGTGAGATTTACGTTTTTCACACATCGTCCCTGCCAGCTCCTGATCCTTTTTGGAGCTTCATTTCTGCGTTGCTTTGACCAGAATTGGGCAGGGTGGGAGGGTGAACCCCCAATCCCCCCAAATTCCCTTCCTGCTCTGGAATGGGGTTTCACCCCCCCTGGGTGCTCTCAGACCCAGGTGATGCTCCTGATGGAGCAGAAAACGTGTCTGGAACCGACAGAAACCACCCCCAGATTTGTCCAAATTCACAGAAATTTCTGGGGAAACTCTGGGGCCGGTGGAGTTTTCCAGCAGCAGAGCTGGAGCTGTAATTCCATGTGAAATAACGCTCAGTGGGAAGCTTCAGCCAGTTCGGGTTTTAACTCCCGCTGTGCCGAAATACAGATTATTTTTTTATTATTTTTTTTTGAATGGGTTTTGTTTGGTTTAATGACTTGGGTGGGGTTTTTTGGGGGGGATTTAATCCTCTCTGCTCATTTGGGGAAATGCACTCACACCCCATCCCTGCCCCAAATCCTCTCCCATCCCCTCATCGCTCCCACCCACACACACTCTCAGGAACGTGAGCTCTGGGTCCTTTTCACCGTTTTTTTCCTTCAAAAACACTGATTTTTCCTCCCTGAAAAGGGCATCTGCAACCAACAATGATCTCATTCACACTCCCTTCACTTAAGATTTTATCAATACTATTACACCAAGCTGGAATTGTTTGGTTTTCATATTTAGGTGGGGTTTTTTTGTGTGTGTGGATTTTTTTATTTTTTTTTTCCCAGAGATGGGAGTTAAGAGCCTTACCACATGTGAGCCCTGTCCATATCTGTAGTATAATCATGTACTCCCTAATACATAAAACATTGGAGAGCCTGTTGAATTATTGATGTAGTATGTATTTTAACTGGAATTTTGCAGGGATGAAGCCTTCTGAGGTAAATGAGGCAATTTTCTTCCATGTAGCTCCATGCTGCATCTCTCTGCATATTTGCTGACAGGAATCTTTAGTTTGGGCTCTGGGTCTATTTCTTGTAGCCTGCAATAAAAAAAAAAAAGAAGAAGAAAAAAAAACTTAATCCTTTTGGCCCAGTTGATGTAAACCGTGCAGGCAATTTTGAAGTTCCAATGCAGTATTTACAGGTTTGGGTTTTTTGGGGTTTTTTTTTTCCCTCCTGGGGAATATTTGCTATCATCAAGGTGCTTTTCACACCGGGCTCTTATCTCCCCGTGGCTTCCCGAGGAGCAGGTATTGGGCACGAAACAAAGGCAGCAGTGATAGAAATTCCCCTGGGCAGTGGGTGACAAAGCCTTTTCACTTTTTTTTATGGTCACCGCTTCAAGGGGAAAGCCAAGTGCCCGCTGATGGATTCCCGGGGATCGCTGTAATGTGGATTATTGAGGCCGATTTCGGGAGTTCTGGTGCAGAACGCCTGCATTGCAGGAACCACAGAACTCACTGCTTTTGCTGATGAGTTCGGGACAAAGGAGCAATACTCGCCACGGGAGCGGCAATCAAATTTTCTGCTTGGCAAGCTCAGCCCGGAGCTCTCCGAGCATCCGCGTTCCCATCCCATTTTAGGGGGAGAAAACACCAAAATCTGGGGGGGGGTCCTGGCCTTCCTCAGAGCCGTGCCGGTGGTGATGATGATGGTGTCTGTGCTGCCATCTCTTGTCCCCTCACAGGTGGGCTGCAGATCGAGAGCAGCGAGGAGACGGACCAGGGCAAGTACGAGTGCGTGGCCAGCAACAGCGCCGGGGTGCGCTACTCGTCCCCCGCAAACCTTTACGTGAGAGGTAGGGAGCACAGCGGCTCAGCGGCGCTCACCTTCCTCATTCTCCTCTTCCTCCTCCTCCTCTTCTTCCTCCCGGGCTCCCCTGGCCCTGCTGTGCCCGGGGGGAGAGCGTGGGGTGGCCCCGCGTGTGCGCCCCGATATCGTCGGGGGGGTCCGGCTGCATGTGGAGCTTCTACAGGGGATTGTGATGAAAACCGAACTTCTCTGTGCCCCAAAGTCCTTAGGGTGATCCCACTAAAACTCCAAACTCCTTGGGGTGATCCCTCTGAAACCCCGAACTCCGCTGCTCCCCAAACTCCTTAGGGTGATCCCCTGAAACCCTCAACTCCTCAGGATGATCCCTCTGAAAACCCGAACTCCTCTGCACCCCAAAGTCCTTAGGGTGATCCCACTGAAACCCTCAACTCCTCTGAGCCCCAAACTCCTTAGGGTGATCCCGCTGAAACCCCAAACTCYGCTGCACCCCAAAGTCCTCAGGTGATCCCACTGAAACCCCAAACTCCTCGGGGTGATCCTGCTGAAACCCCAAACTCCTCGGGGTGATCCCTCTGAAACCCCAAACTCCTCTGTGCCCTAAACTCCTTAGGGAGATCCCACTGAAACCCCAAAYTCCTCAGGGTGATCCCTCTGAAATCCCGAACTCCTCTGTGACCCAAACTCCTCAGGGTGATCCCACTAAAACTCCAAACTCCTCGGGGTGATCCCACTGAAACCCCAAACTCCGCTGCACCCCAAAGTCCT